AAGACATTGCATCATGCTATTCCCCTGCCTATAAACTTTCTAAGACTCTACCATCTTCTGGGCATCAAGTCCTTATTCTTTAATGTAGTTTGTGTTCATCTTCACAATCTTCCCAGCTGATTTTTCTTTATCAACCTACCCAGCTCTTAATACCAGAAATGACTCTTCTGCAAAGCATGAACTTCTGAGCATAATGCCCTTCTTTTTCTTCTCCATCTGTTGAACATTATCCTCATTCAAAATCTACCTTACATGCTGCTTCCTCTCTGAGCTTCTGAAGTCAGGGTCCTTGTCATTGAGGTTCTTGTGTGCTTGTTCTTCATTAGGTAAGAAAAGAGAGCTATGAAAGGAGTTAAGAGGGTAAGTGACCTGATCACACTTGCTGTGGTAAAGGATGGATTTAAGTGAAGCAAGAGTGGAAGCCCAGAGACCACCTAAGACCAACTAATGTCATATTAATTTATTCAGTAAATATTCACCAATGGCCTGCTTTGCCAGGCACTACTTGAGGCACTGAGCAGGGAACAAGACAGACAAAGTCTCTGTCTTCATGGAACTTATTACGTAGTATGAAAGACAGATAAACATGATAAAAAATAAATGTAATTTAAAAGTGTGATAAATACTCTGAAGATAAGAAAAATGAGTACGAGGATAACTGAGAGCAGGGTTGTTTTTGTTTTGTTTTGATTTTTTTGAGACAAAGTCTCACCCTATTCCCGGACCAGAGTGCAGTGGCATCATCACAGCTCACTGTAGCCTTGAATTCCTGGACTCAAGGGATCCTCCTGCCTCAGCCTACCAAGAAGCAGGGACTACAGGTGTTCGACACCATGCCCAGCTAAATTTTTAAACATTTTTTGTAGAGACAGGTCTCACTATGTTGCTCAGGCTGGTCTCAAACTCCCAGCCTCAAGGGATCCTCTCACTTCGGTCTCCCAACGTAGTAGGATTATAGATGTGAGCCACTGTGCCCCATCCTGGTTTATGTTTTAACTGAGCCATGTGAGAGATGATGAAGAATTACGAGTATGAGGTTTGAAATCAGTGTAGGTTCATCTGAGCTGTACCACTTGATATCTGTGTGACTTTGGGCAAATTTTAAGAAGGCTTTTATTAAGCATCAGCTTTCCTGTGTGTAGAATGAGAACAAGAATACTATCCCCCTCACAGGGCTGGTAAAGAGTTAAATGAGATGATCTCAGGCCCTGATTTTTGAAAAGTGCTGGTTAATATTACTGTAGGGTAGTGGTAGGGTGGAGAGGAGAGGCAGATTTGAGAAATGTTTAGAAACTAAAAGTGGCAGACTTTGGTGACTGGGTATAGTAGGTAAGCAGAAAGCCGTGCTCCTTCGGAAAGAGACATTGACCCTCAGTTTCTTCATTTATAAAATGGGAATCCTAATAGCTTTCTAATTTATTTGTGTTGCAGGATTGTAGCTTGTAAGGCTCAGTTGAGGTAAGGTGTATATTTTAGCCCGCATCCTCTGTGAAGCTGAGCCCAATTAAGGGACTAACTTTTTATTTGGAAGGTGCAAGCCTAGAATAATGAAAGTGAGGAAGAGAAGGAAGTAAGGCGAAGGAGAATGCAATAATTTACATCCCTGGCTACTGCTTGACCTTGAGCTGTGAAGAGACATAGATCACTCAAATGTGGGATTTTTCTGGAAGTGTGTTTTTTTGTTTTTTGTTTTTTTTTGTTTTGTTTGAGACAGAGTCTCACTTTGTCATCCCCGGTCGAATAAAGTGGTGTCATCATAGCTCACTGCAACCTCAAAGTCCTGGATTCAAGAGACCGTCCTGCCTCAGCCTCCAGAGTAGCTGGGACTACGGGCACACACCACAATGCCTGGCTAGTTTTTCTATTTTTAGTAGAGATGGGGTCTTGTTCCTGCTCAGGCTGGTCTTGAACTCCTGAGCTCAAGCAGTCCTCCCACCTTCACCTCCCAGAGTGCTAGGAACCACGCCCAGCCTGTTTAGTTATTTTGTGCACACGTGCATGCGTGCTTACGTGCGTGGAGGAAGGGGGTGAGGTGAGTGGGAAAGTAGGAAAAGCTGAAAGGGTTTCCAAGAGAAACGTCAGAGTAATCCATAGGAGAAAGAAAGGAGGGATGATTTATCTGTCCAACTTCGTCCCATTTCCTGTTTCCAGGTGGTAAAGACTCATCCCATGGGAAGCTAATTTACCTGTGCTTCTGGGTTGCACAGTTTCCCATTAATGGAGCAGCCAGCAGATTTCCCATCCTGAATTGTATTTCAACCACATCCTAAAGAGAGAGGTGTCCCAGGGTGGAGGGGCACAAACCGAAAACAAAGCTTGAGGGGAGTTGGCAAAAAAAAAAGAAAAAAACAAAGCTTGAAAGGGGCAGTGGAAGGTTCACATGGTTTATGTCCCTATATTACATAGAAAAGTGGTGTGAAAACAGTTTCATTCTTGACTAAGGAAATACCAACAGTATTTTAGGATGATTTATTTGACCTTTTAATGGTTATATGAAAGGGGAAAGTAGCTGGAGTTTGGACACAAAATCCTAGATTTGAAATTATCTGAGAATTTGGACTATGAGGATGGTAGTGGTAGACTTAATAGGAAAAAATTTGATTACATTATAAAGAAGGGAAAAATAGTGCCAGATGAGTAATAAGAAATCAAGAGGAGAGTAAAAATGGCTTTGAAATTTTGAGTGAGGATGACCAGAAAGACTGTAGGAAGAACAAACAAATGGGACTATTTTAAGCCAAGGCTATTTTTATTTTATATAAAACAGCCAAAATGTTTTATTATTAAGTATATAAAATAAAAAGTATAATTTTTCTATCTCTCCTAGCCAGTTCCTTTCTCCAGGTAACTAGTACCAAGTTTGGTGTTCTTCCAGGCTTTTTCTATGCCTACACAAACTCACATTGACTTAAAATATGATTTTATATTTTAAATCATCTATATATTATATATCTATAGCTGACTAAATATACTACACAGTGCTGTCCTGCCATTTGCATTTTTCAAGGTTCAGTAAGTTGAAACCTTACTGTATTTATATTATTGTATGAACATTAAAGAGTGACTAAGAGTCACTATATTTATAAGTTTAATTTTTTAGATTAATAAGTTATTTAAGGCTGGGCGTGATGGCTCACGCCTGTAATCCTAGCACTCTGGGAGGCTGAGGCTGGAGGATTGCTCGAGGTCAGGAGTTCAAGACCAGCCTGAGCAAGAGTGAGACCCCATCTCTACTAAAAATAGAAATAAATTAGCTAGACAACTAAAAATATATAGAAAAAATTAGCCGGGCATGGTGGCGCATGCCTGTAGTCCCAGCTACTTGAGAGGCTGAGGCAGGAGAATTGCTTGAGCCCAGGAGTTCGAGGTTGCTGTGAGCTAGGCTGCACGGCCCTCTATCAAGGGCAACAGAGCCAGACTCTGTCTCAAAAAAAAATAAAATAAGTTATTTAAATTCTCAAGAAATTTTGTCTTTTTCAGTCAAACAATTATACTAAAAATTGAATATATTAAAATGTTTAAGTACTTAAAATTTGATGTTGGAAGGTGTTTAACTTTGTAAATGAGTTCAAACATTCATCCCAGAGCTTTGAAATTAGACCTCCATTCGAGGTGGCTCATGCCTATAATCCTAGCACTCTGGGAGGCTGAGGTGGGAGGATTGCTTGAGCTGAGGAGTTTGAGACCAGCCTGAGTAAGAGTGAGACCCCGTCTCTACAAAAAATAGAAAAAATAGCCAGGCATGGTGGTACATGGTGGTAGTCCCAGCTACTCAGGAGGCTGAGGCAGGAGGATTGCTTGAGCCCAAGAGTTTGAGGTTGCAGTGAACTACAGTGAGGCTACTGTACTTTAGCTGGGGTGACAGAGTGAGACTTTGTCTCTAAATAAATAAATAAATATTAAATTAGACCTCCAGATAGAATAAGATGTCTAAATCGAATGTAAAATTTGAGGAAAATCTGGGCTTTTTTTTTCTTTCTTTCTTTTGTTTTGCTTACAAACAATTGAGGCTTTTGAAATTTGTAACTTTAACAAATCAAATATTAATATTTTAAAACTAGAGTAAATCTCAGTCTTTTCAATGCATAAACACTGCTCTTAAATATGAAAATAAAAATACTCATCAAGGCCAGGCATGGTGGCTCATGCCTGTAGGTCTAGCACTTTGGGAGGCCAAGATGGGAGGATCACTTGAGCCCAGCAGTTTGAGGTTGCAGTGAGCTACAATGATGCCACTGCACTCTAGCCCAGGCAACAGAGTGAGACCCTGTCCCCTCCAAAAAATACTCATCAGCAGTAGCAGTGTTTTGCTTCGCCTGTCTTCCTTAAAGCATGATGATATTGTTGATTTGAATTTCTGTTCCTTTCAGTACTGGACAAGATGCTCGGATCTGTAGCATTGCTGGTTATGAATGGCTTATTCTTTGGGCTCTGAAATGTGCACTCTCCCATTTCTCCAGCTCCTCATGTCCAACCTAAAGTGGAGGGAACGTTAGGGAATACTTCTTGGCTAAAGAAGACAGCTCCATTGAGTCACATGTTATTTCTCTGAGCTGTGTAGAAATCAGCCATTTATATGTAGGGTTTTGATAAGTCAGGTATACTTGTTCAGATGATAGAAACCACATGTGAGTTGTGTTAACCTCAGCTATGTATGGTGACGTTAGTGAGCCTGAATTATTTTTCTTTGAAATGGCATCCTTCTTATTTAAAACATTGCTTTACAAAGACACTGTCAGTATTTTGTGACTATAGCAGTTGATTTCCTTAGGCCTTTTAACATTTTTCTTTTCTATGGAAAAATCTTTTTTTCTTGAACATTATTTGAGCTATAGTTTGATGAGTATAGCTTGTGGTCATCCTCCAATCAGATTTGAATTGCTAACATTCTATATTGGAATGTGTCTGTGCTTTCAGTTAACTGATTTTTTTCAGTTTTGAAAAAGTGATGCATTACTTTTCTACTTAGTTTAAACCTAAAAGCAATTGTTTGATTAGAAATGAAGTCTATTGGCTTAAAGAGTGTCAAGGCTTGTGGGTCAAAGAGTTCTATACGCCTAGAGGGTCAGCCATGCTCATTAGGCCATAGTAGAAGAAAAGTCAAGCTTATGGATGAACGATCATATACTCTTTCAATTGGCAACGGAGACTACTTTTGGACAAATAAAGACACATTGTGGAATTACATGCAGACTCTGTCTGGTAAGAAGTCAGTAGTTACAAATAATGAATGTTTTAAAAACATTTAAAAAATTGATTACAAAAATTAATAACCGTTCCTGGCAGATAATTTGTACAAACATATAACAAGGAAAATAAAAATAGTAATCTCATTGAAGTGTATTTTGTAAAAAAGGAAAATTTTTATACTGAAGTAAAAGATTTTCAGTAAAATAATCGTTGGTTAATACATAAAAGGTTATTTATTGAGCTCAGTTCTCTGAAATGTATAATGGGGATTTCAGAATCTCTTTTCAGTCTTAGAGTCCAGCTTATTTATCTTTTTTTTTTTTTTTTTCTGACAGAGTCTCCCTCCGTTGCCTGGGCTAAAGTGCTGTGGCATCAGCCT